TTGGTGTAGTGATAGAGACTACAATTCTTTAAAACTCCAACCTAGAGATAGGTTTGACAACTCATCAGATTTAAATTTTAAATTCACATTGTAGAAAGTATTTTGTGTTGTAAAAGAAATTTGGACTGAGAAAGAAGTAGAAAAGGAGATGCTGAACATGTGATGTTTTTTATTGGTCCAGCTTGGATATAAGGTAGCCTTTGCAGTAGTTTTAGGTTCTGCTATAGGTAATTAAGTAGTAGATGTTGATTTTGGTAGTTGTATCAGGATTTTGATCACTTAAGGTCATTAGAGTCTTCTGAAATATCCTGAAGAGTGTCACTAGTGTCAGAGCATCTCATATGTAAGCAAATGGAAAATTTGAAAGATTCAAGTAAATAACTTCTTTGTCACCTGTTTGTATGACCATTTTCTTATGGTATGAAAGCATCATCCTATATACCGGCATAGATGACTGTCTTCGAGAGGTGAGATACCTTGATATTATGTATATATTTTGTCTAGTTAATAAACTTCTTGGGCATGTTTCCTTTGTTGTTTAGACAAAAGGTAACAATTGCTGGTGGTTGGCTGTAAGTGCTCGTAGCCATGCGGGTGCAGTAATGTAGTGAATAAGCAATGCGCATTAGTGTACATAGTTGTTTTGTTAACATTTTAAAATGGTTTTGTGCTGTTGTACTAAGTAGGAATCGGAACGGGTATGTTTCCTAGACCAGAGGAAAAACACAATGATTTTTTATTTTTATTCAAATATTAAAGAAATTTTCTCGGATTTACTGCACTATTTTGAGAATCAACTTACTTTACACGCACATACACATATACACGCACATACACATATACACGTGTATAGATAGAGATATAGAAGATAGATAGTTCGGATACAAAATAACTCCATGAACATCAAAGTTTTCGAATTCTTAGCGCTTCATTTTCAAAAGCTTTTATCCCCAATCCTTCTTGTTTATTAAGTATTAACAACAATAACAACAACCAAGTCTTTATCCCAAATGTTTGGTGTCGGCTATATGAATCCTATTTTTTTATTCTATTATGTTGCAGGTCATTTCCTCAGTTACGTTAGTCTTAAGCATAACTTTCTTAATTATTTTTGACCAAGTCATTTTAGGTCGACCTCTAGATCTCTTAGCCCCATTAACTTTAATATTATCACTTTTTCTAATCGGTGCACTAAGGGATCTTCTTTGTACATGACCAAACCATTTTAATTTGTTCTCATTTTATCATCAATAAGCGCAAACTCTATTTTACTACGGATGTATTCATTTCTTATCCTATCTTTTAATGTATACCCACAAGATCATCGCAATATTATCATTTCTGCTACACTCATTTTTAAAACATGTTTTTTAATTGTCTAACATTCTGACCTATAAAGTATTGTTGGTCTAATTACCATCCTATAGAATTTTCCCTTTAGTTTTATAGGTATTCTACGATCATATAAGACTCCCGAAGCACTCCTCCATTTCAACTATCCCGATTTGATTTGATGCATAACAACATCTATTTTTTAACTATCCTGATTTGATTTGATGCATAACATCATCCTCTATCTTACCACCATCCCTAATGATAGATCCTAAATAGCGAAAATGATTAGTTTTAGGTATTTTTTGGCCATCAATATGTACCATAGGCTCTCTTTCCTACTTTTACTAAAATACATCCCATATATTCTGTTTTTGTTTTACTAATTCTAAAACCTTTAGACTCAAAAGCTTGTCACCATCTTTCTACTTTAGCAATAATGCCTATTCTAGTTTCATCAACTAATACTATATCATCAACGAATAATATACACCATGAAATTTTGAAGTTGGTCCATAACTAATGCAAAAAGATAAGGACTTAAAGCTGACCCTTGGTGTAAACCTATGGTAATAGGAAATGGTTTAGTCTCTTCTTCATAAGTTCTTACTCTAGTTATTACTCTATCATACATATCTTTAATCACATTAATATATATACTAGATAGTAGATACGTGTTTCTTTTCTAACACCCACCACATTACCTTTCTAGGTACTCTATCATAAATTTTTTTTAGATCGATAAAAATTATAGCTAGATCATTTCTCTTCTCTCTATATCTCCATCAATCGTCTCAAAATATATATAGGTTCAATAGTTGACCTCTCAGGGATAACCTAATTGATTTTCAGATATACATGTTTCTTTTCTTAGTCTTTGCCAATTGCCCTCTCCAAAGTTTTATAGTATGACTCATGAGTTTTTTACCTCGATAATTTGAACAACTTTGTATATCTCATTTATTATTATATATTGGTACCAAAATCATGACCACGATCTAAGCGTAACAGTCCGTGTAAGCAGTCTTCGCTCCCCTAGGAGCTCCTAAGACCTAGGTTGGCGGCTTAGGTACCACTTAGGCTTAGACGGGAACTTTTAAAACATTGATTAATACCTAAATTATCCAAACTATCCTTGTTAGTTACATGTGCCTAACATGTATTTCCCAACTACAAATGTAATTTTTTTGGGCAGTTTGGGTAATTAAGGTATTAATTGAGAAAAATTTGACATAAAAATGGTTGATTGAAAACTAAACCCACTTAAAAATGGTTTACGTATAAAAAAAGTTCAAATGTAGTTTTCATTGATTTGAAATATGTTAAAGGTGGTTTATATGGAGAACCCTAACATTTACAAAAGCTATGAGATTAATGCAATTGATGCAGCTTGTGTGAAATACAAAATTAAGCAAATAAATGAACAACTTAAAAGCGAAAATTTGCCAGAGGATAAAGTAGAAATAGAAAACCAAATGTGAATGCTTGACTTTCAGTGGCTCAATACCATCTAATAGCTCCTTATGGTCTGCGATCCATGTTTGTTAACTGAGTTAAGTCAAACCTCTTACATATCTCACCCATCTTTCTTAAGGTATAGATTACTATCCACTCTTACAAAAGGAAGTTGTTCCTTGTTCTCAGGACACTGGAGAACAACTCAAACTCACAAAAACAAGGAATATGATGGATTCTCTACAATAATAAAGAGGGATAAGGCTCTACTTCTAGAATATGTTGGCAAAAAGCTCTAAGCAGATTCCAGTCTCCAAAACCCTCCAGAAATGACCTACTAAAAAAAGGTGGAAAGGACATTAAAAAGTCATTTACCTATCTAGTAAAGATAGGTGGGACATGAAGTATCAGATAAGCAAAACCAATTCATCTATCGAGTAGAATAAGTTCAAACAAATCCCGTCTAGCCTATAATACAGAATCTTGAAACAAGATGAGTCATACGCTACACAGTTATGGCTTATAGGCTGCTGTAGATTGTCAAATGTACTGTTCTAGAACAAGAAGATTTAAACCTGTGTTCCATGGTCTTAACTCACAAACTCATTCAACTACAACTGAATTCTTATTTAAGAATAAACATCTGCCTCGTGAATCCTATGCAGCCAATAATCGATTCTATCATGAAGAAAACAACTTCCAGTAAACTGTAGGCTGAAGGATGTAGACTGAAGAAGATATACTAGAAATAGTCTGCAAGTAACCATGTTGTCTGTACAGTTTGTGAATTAAATCTTAGCTGATTGAATACAGATCTAGGCCTGTTAATGTTATCGATCTGACCCGAATCCGTATCAAGATCCAGCCTCTTTATTTTGCATATGGTGAAGGGGCATTTACTCTTTACCTGGATCTAAATCTTGATCCTTATGCAGGTTTAGTACTTGGTTTGATATGGATCTACAATTACTTGTTCATTTCCCATCCTTTCCTAGCGCACTGGTTAGATAATCATATACATGGGTTCTATATATCAATTAGTACTCTATATTTGAATATATACATCATATTTGTATATTGATCACACCCTTTTTTCTTGGTGAATTTCTGCTGTATGTAACAGATTAGTTGTCCACAAGAAAATTAAGCAGGTCTGATAGACGTTTTATGTTGGATAAATTAAGTTGCCATACCTAATCAGTGCATATATAGGCCTAAATAGATTGAGATAATAACTGTGTATCAAGGGAATTGAATGTTCAACGGTTGAATAAAGATCATGATATATAGTATTATGTTGACGCAATGATAGTTTGGTCCCGACTTTTAGTATATAGGCTATAAACCTATATGGGTTTCACATCTACTAAGATTTGGACCAAGTCTATATGATAAATGTTTAGGGGTCAACTCTAGATGCAATATTCGTCTTCTTTTTTACCGCATTAAACTATCCTAATAACGTTTGATGTTCCATTGATAATATATCATCTTGTATAGTTAGGAACTTGTAATTCTTATGCCTCCATTTGATTTAAGCAACAAACCCCAATTTGCCCAATCTCCTTAACACGCCTTGACCTGTTTCAACCTTTAACTACTAGGCACACTAATTATTCCTTATAATTGATCTCCTGACCATCAGAAAACATACGGATAATTCTGAATGCTACTTCACAAATGTGGTATATAGGTGTTCTATCTGAAGATAATATATGCAGATAAATTTGGGTTAATTTCTGCAGGTGTGGAAGATGAGAACTGGGCCTCGTGTCCTTACTATTCAGTGCCCTAAAGGGTGCAGAATTCTGCAGCCATCGACTAGATTTCTATCGTCATTCCAATCATCCTACGTTCCTTTGGAGGTCTTCTTGTTAAATGGAGATTCTGGACAGTTGTCTGTTTTGAACAGACATATTGGCTGAACATAACTGCACGCTTGATCCAGTTAAGCAATTGTCTTCAAATTTGCTGTTTCATTGCAGAGCATCCACATTTAAGATCTGTTCAGTATTTGATAATACCTGTGTAATTTAAATCCGATGTCCGTTATGTGTCTGTCATCTTATGTAAGTAAAGGAGAGGGTTGAAAAAAAATGGAAAGTGGCTTGATATTTCATTTGAATAAGTTTATAAAGTGTTTCTTTTTTACCCCTTGTATTGCTGATGCTAGGCTTGAAAACCTTACAATTGTTTTGCATTCTCTGACGGGTACATTTTATTCTTCTCCCCTCAAAGTGATAAATTGTTGTAGGGTTAATATTATATATAGCTGTCAATTTCCTCGATGAATTTGGAAGGTGAGTTTGGTTTGTTAATGATGTATTAGGTATTGTAATGTAAATATTAGGTAGGTCGGCAAGAAAATGAATAAACAGTAACTGTTTTTGTCCTCCAAATAAATATTGCTTGGTTTTGGTCGTACCAGCTTTGGTGCGGCACTGTAGGCCTTGTGGGGTTGGGGGAGGGGTCACTTCAATCCTGAAGTTGGAATCAACGGTTGACCAAAATTCTATTTGATCTGTGTATGATGTTGAACAAGATGCTATGAAATTGAAGTGAAAGCTATTATATTTGATGAAGCAAAAGTCTCTTATGTTTTTTTGTTAGCCATCTCGTTCTCATGGTTTGGAACTGGTCATGTAGAACAGGAGTATGCTTGTCGATGAATTGGTCGTAGGAAGGTGGTGGATGTTTTCGTCAAACCCGTACTGTTGACTCTTCATCTTCAATTGTTTCGACATTAATGGCAGTGGAATTTCTATGATTTCATTAAGGTTTTCAAAGTCGTGCGTCTGGCTTTTGAAGGTCTAGAATCTTGTTGAATGCTCACGTAATCATCAGATTATAAACATGAATGTATTGAAAAGTATGAGTCAAACTAATTCATCTTTAATTTATCTTTAATTTTTTTGGAACTAAAGTGTCAATCAATACTAAGCTTCAGGAAAGAATTTCCTAATGTATGTACCCAAGACAAAATTTTTAGCATTAGCTTAGATAATAAAGATAATAAGGCAAATTGCCTGATGTATGCTTTTGATTATTTCACTGTATTCCTTATCATAGTCCTCATTTACATATATATTTGAAAATTTAGACCTAACCTTTGCTTACAACTTAGAGGAGTATCAGACAAATATTACATGATAGAATTCAAAAATGTCGACATTGTAGGACTTGACTATTGCATTTATACATATAATTTTAAATGCCTTGCTACACTTAACGCCAAAACTAGGAGCCATTCATCTGTTGTCGAGTATATTAAATTTATGGGATAAGTCTTTTTCGTGGACAGTTTATTTGCTGTTTTCTTAGGAAAAGAACAATGCCATTCAACTTATCATTAATAAAAGAACAAAGAGTCAAATGTGTAAATTAGCACACTTAATCCCTCTGACTCTTCTATTAATATACATGCTGATTAGTCAGAACTCATGGCTCGCATTTGACCAGAAAGGAATCATAATGGTTTATCACGTCAAAGTTTAGAGTGACGCACGCCAAAATATTTTAATCAGATTTAAAATGTTGGAAAATTATGTCGTGAAAGAGAGCGAGAGAATGCAGAATACTATCAAATGACTACAAAGTATAAAAACAAAGGAAATTAAGGGGAAGAATACGCTAAGTAAAATGATTGCCTATCAAGTGATGTTATAAACTATTTGATCCATTTGACCTCTTCTCCGAAAATGAAGTACACTACAATTACTTTTTCTTGTTTGTGAGCAAATATTTTAGTCAAATCTTGAATCTAGGAAACAAGTAACGCTGAAATATTGGAAGACTTTTCTGGATCACTGATTACAATGAGCAAAAATCAAAATATAAGAGTTTGCACACACATTTATGCTCCCACTAAAATCATAGACATAAATATATGTGTGTGTGATACACATAAATATGTGTATGTATACAAAGAAAAATGGATATACTTGGTACTAAGCATAAATTTGATTCTTGATAGTGAGGTGGCTTATTTTCATCCGCTCATTCAAATGGATTCTACTTAAAAGTAACCACCCCTTAATTATCAAACCCATATGCACCCATGTGAATAAGGTCTCCCCCACCATCTCTTTAAATAAGGAGATGAGAATGAACCACCTCACCACCAAGCACCAAGTTAAATTTGATTCTTGATAGTGAGGTGGCTTATTTTCATCCGCTCATTCAAATGGATTCTACTTAAAAGTAACCACCCCTTAATTATCAAACCCATATGCACCCATGTGAATAAGGTCTCCCCCACCATCTCTTTAAATAAGGAGATGAGAATGAACCACCTCACCACCAAGCACCAAGTTGGTGCTTGGTACCATATATATATTT